TGCGTCCTGCCATCCTCAGAAGTCTGGAGTCTTCAACTTGCCAGGCAGGAAGTATTTGTACACAAATACAAACTCTGTGTACTTGGAACTGAGAAACAACTAGAAACACTGGGGAAAATGTGTATTTAAAAAAAATGAAAAAAGAAAATGCAATGGCTTGGACCACCCTGGAGTTAGCCCCGCCCCCTGACTTTGAAGGGTGAGGTTTAGATTAGATTAAATAGATTTATGATGCACTGCAACACAGAAACCATTAAATAATTTAATGTTTTGATATTTTAATCTAATAATGACACATTTAAGTAATTATTTTGGCACAATCCCAAGTGGCTACATTTGAAATCCATCACTGGTTCATCCCTTAAAAAGCATGGAAACTTCACTGCTCATCATTCAATGCATTTTTTTGCATAAACCTCTGTTTAGCAAACATAAATCTTTACAAAGCAAAAGATTTGGAAAATTCGCTTCCTTATAGTAAGAAGGTCTGACAGCTAGGATGGATGGATGGATGGACGATAAGAAGGTTGATGCCACTCCAAGCTTGATCTGTTTAGGTTAGCTTAGCATTAATACTTAAAGCAGCAGAAAGAGCCGTGCTTTGTCAATGAGCAAATTAGGTTTTAATGTCCATTTTTGTACAAATTTAAAATGTAGATAATGTGATTATTAGAGGGTATGTGCTGGTAGGGAGGGAACGCACTCATGCAAGCACATCCAAACATTTAACATGTGATGTACCTTTAACAGAACCATGAAAACGACTTCCTCATTCGACTGTCCTTCTGAATAAGGAAGTTGAAAATTAGGTCCTTGTTGGTCCTTGACCCTACTAAAAGGTGCCATGATGAAGAGATAATGAGTGTTATTCACTTCACCTGTCATTGGTCATAATGTTATGCCTTATCGGTGTAGCCTGCTTCACAGTAATGCAAAAGTCTTGAACCACCCTCATTTCTTTATATTTTGCCTCAAGGAGCCAGACGTGTGGGGGGGGGGGGGAGACACTGGCTGCTTTTTCGCTCATTTTCACTCCAATCCTTGTGTGTGAGCATTTTTACAGATTTAGAGTTTTTTTTTCTTTTGTTTCTTTATTAAGCCTGTCAATGGAAAATTGTACTTAGTAGTCAGTATAATCTTTTAATGATATAAGTTTGCATATGGTAGAATGCTGCATGTAATTATTTGTGTGTAGAAGTATATAGTTGGTGGCATATTGAAAGGATGTCTCATCCTAGGAGGTCTGTAACATTCTAGGGTGTTCACCCCCACATCCTAGGAGCATGAGAGTTCGTACCTTGTTTTATTGTTTTATGGTAGGATTAACGTAGCTACGTCTGTTCTAGTCTAAGTGTTTTAACTGCTGGACTTCCTCACCGTGTTATCTAGGGTGAACCATCTAGGGTGGGGGAGACTAGCTTTTGTGCTTTCATAACCCTTTGATCAGCAGGACACACACACACACACACAGAAGTACAAAATAAAGACCGGGGCAGTGCTCAGCGCGAGTCTCTCAGTCTGGAGACTGCCCTTGCTAGCAAGAAGTTCTGTGTGTTTCTCTTCTCTGGGTCTTTACTGAAGAAGTGTTTTAGAACATTTTCCTTAACAAAGCCATATAACACTAGCCTATGAATTCTTCAAGCATAAAAAGGCACCTAACAAACCAGCACTGTGTCTACATGTGACAGACCATTTCCAAAGAACCAACAAAGTCAATATTAAAGAGCCATTAGACAAAACCTTGGCATGGTATCTAAGCAGGGTGTGTTCTTAACTGGACAAGTGGACGACAAAAGTGGCAGGCCTAAAACCTATCTACACCACATGAACATAGTGAAATAGAAAAAAAAAATCTGGAGAACTATTGCTCAAGACCACTTGAAAAAATTACATGACAGTCTGGCTCCTTGTTAGCGAAATATAAAGAAATGAGGGGACTTTTACACAGCTCTGTAAAAATGCTGCATCAGTTTTTTGAGGCTGATAGGAACACCCAATGTCCTGGAATCAGGCCACTGGTGTTCCTCTTGAACAATTGTCAGTGAGGTTTCAAATATTTACCAAAAAGCAGCTGAAAGCAACCGTCAGTACCTTCTTGCATCACACACACACCAAAGAAAATTGGCATTTTCAAATGTAATACGAGGGAATTTTAATCATCAAACTAGTCATAAGTTATTACATCAGTTATACAGATATTAAGACATCTCATTGAATTTAGGCCAACCACTTAGGTCCCACGTTATCAAAGCAACATGAGCACACGAGCCACACATTAGAGGATACAGAGAAAACAAAAGTCAATGAGATCCCGTTGTGTGTTTTAACATTTCCGATTAACTGTCCACATTTTTGAGTGAAGTGAAAACTCTGCACGTGTAGCTACGCACTGTAACACAAACAAACAAACTCACAGATGAGGATAATTAAGTAATCACCATTCACGATTTCTCTACACTGCAAAGAAAGTCTGAACAAAAAAAAAAAAAAAAAAAAACAAAAAAAAAACGCTCCAGTCTTCAGGTCAGCTGTTCAGACTGTCAGCATGTCAAGCACATCTTTGATGATAGAGCTGAGATTGCACTAAGATTTGTCTTTTATTTCATTGCACTTCCCCCCCCCCCAAAAAAATGTATCTAAACATAATACACATATCGCCAATAACACCTCTCGTGGATACAACATGGAAATGTGCTAAAAGAAAACACATTAGAAAACAATGAACAAATCAGTGGTGTAAACAAAACAATGGAAAAAAGTAATTCTGCCTATCATGTGTTAGGACGCGCCGTTCAAAGGTTCCTGTTGTTTTTCATATAAAGCTGGAGAACAAAGGAATGATTACCTCCTGAGTTCTCATCGCTTTCCTTAATATCTCTGCATGAATGAGAGCTTTCTCGATTGAGCTTCCAAACAAATAAAGCTGTTAGAGTTAATAGTACACTGCTAGACATACATGACTAATGTAAAGGTGGATGAATGTTGGGAAATTTCCCACCTTAACAAACAGTGTGTAGGGGATTGAAGGCACTGTATTCAAAAGTAGGATGACTATAGTGCAGATAGAGTTACCCCAGCTATTATTAAGGGAAAAAGCACACATCAAACACTTAATTTTTGATCGGTATTTGTCAAAGTTTTGTTTTATTCTGCTAAGATGACTCGAACACATTAAAGGGAAACCCTATTTCTACTTTCTTGTTAGAGAGTAAAAATGTCCAAGGTCTTTTTAAATATAAAAAAATTTAAATAATTGATGAATCTGTGTCTATCTGAACTACTGTCGTCTATTTCCGCAATCAAGTTTCACATTGGATGGGTGTATTGCTGACTATACAAGCACAGTGCCAAATGTGAAGTTGTTTTGGATAAGGGGCGCCTCACTTAGCTGGAAGGCAAGAATGCCACGGGAACCAAAAGGTTAAAGTAGATATGTCACAGAATGAGATATTAGAAATCTGGAAAATTTAGAGCTGAACATGCACAGTAGTGAGTCCACTCAATAGCCATGGCAAGCCAAGACACCTTTCAGAGGAAGCTCATTTCCACTGCTTGTATCCACAATCTCGTTCTTTCGGTCTTCACGCCCAGCTCTAACCATAGGTGAGGACAGAAATGTAGCATGACTAGTAAATCTACAGCTTCACCTTTACACTCATTTCTTTCTTCACCACAACAGCACCTGCATCTCTTCAGACAATATGCTAGTCCCATTCTCTAGATCTAAAGATACTTGAACTCCCCTATGGGAGAAACTACTTTCCAAAGTGGAAAGAGACCTGCACCCTTTTTCGGTTGGGAATTGTGGCCTCAAACTTGGAAGTGCCAAATGTCATCCCAGCTCCAAATCGTCCTAGCGCAATGTATGGCGCTTGAAAACAAAGTGTCTGGACTTCTTTAAGTTTCCTTGAAGACTTTTCACCTCTCATCCAAGAAGCTTCTTCAGTTCTAAGAGCAAATGGTGGAGAGTTCCAGATTTTAAGCCCTATTGGGAGTGTCCCCAAGAGGGTCGTGGACCCCCTGTTGATCCTCTGCCCCACACCTTTGAAAGCGGGTGTGAGGCACAATCAGTCAATGTTTCAGGTGAACCCACTGTGAGACTAAGCCCCACCCTATCAGGTGATTTACTGAGGTCAAATGGCTCAGGATGTGAGTGGTCGTTAAGGCGTCTGGGAAGGGTTCTCAAAACTGGATTATAGATGGCAGACTGTTGGTGTCTTAAACCACCACCTCTGTTCAAAGATGGTCGTTCACAGTGGACATAGATGCTTCCTTCGCTCTTCTTTCAAACCATCTGTCTTCTCTGTCCGAAATGTGAACATTGGCATCTTCGAAAGAGAGACCTGTGTCCTTTAAATGCAGATGAATAGCTGAGTCTTGTCTTGTCGAGGTGGCTCTTCTACTCTTCACTCTTCACCAATTGCTCTTAGAACTAGAGAAGCTTCTCGGATAAGAGGTGAGATGTTTTTAAGGAAACTTAAAGAAGTCCAGACGGTTTTCTTTCCAAGCTCCTTTAACTACAATAATTTGGATGAACTGAGAACCATCCTAGCAGAAGGTCACCACCTAATGAAGTCAGAAGGACCATATGATCTACCAAGCGATAGAAGTGATCTGGGCCCACCCAGCCAGAAACAATCTACCACTTCTGTACCTGGACTCTGGTGGAGCCCTGGTTGACCATTAATTCTCCACCCCCCAAAAAAACAAACAAACATTAACTTTGATTTTATTGGAAACCTAGATATATAACTACATGTACAGAGGTGAGCCAGTTTTGGCTTTATGGTTGAATTCACTGTCAATTTGTCCTGTGCCTCTATTTTGGCTCTTCTATTTGGCAAACGCAACCGGGGTGAATGATCATACTCTATTATTGAGACCCATCTGTTATGCCTCAAATTATAGCCAAAAATGATTCCTTGATACAAATGTGTAGAAATTCAGACGATTACTCCCAAATATGTGTGGGTGAACTCGTCATCAGGGAAAAATAGTAATTTCACTTAGAGGAATTTTTTATTTTTTAAAAAAAAGCAAATGACACAGAACGGGGAACACTCTGGAACAAACACCACTTTGCACCTTCATCTTACATAAAAGATTAAATAAGCCCTCACTATTATTTTCAGTCATTTGGCCCTGAAAATTTCGTTATCAAAGTACTTCTAGCTACTTTTAAACCGGCATCAGCTGAGTTGCAACATTTACCCACAGTCTACTTCTGGAGGTTTTTCACTGCCAGTCTAATACATATAATTTCTCCCTTAATGATTACTGATAAAATAGAGATTTAAAAGCAATGTATATGCACTGACACTTTATGAAAAACACCTATGGAGACTTCATGTCATGTAAATTGACAAAAAAAAGAAGAAGCATGTAATAGCTCATTAACACCATTTCTAAACCTGATTATTATTAACTGACAGTAGACTAGACTAATATAATGTAATGTAGTCTAATATATTAAAGGGAAAGAATTAGCTTATTAAAATAATGCCAAGCATTAACTACTTAAAATGTTGGGGCGACGTTTGGCAAGGGTTAGGGTTCTATTATTTATTTATTTTTTAAAAAGAACAAAAAAGGCAAGCGTGTGGTTTATCTGAAATGAGAAAGAGGATGACTAAGTTCACTTAGCTAAGCTTCTTACAGATTTGTTATCGAATTATCTCTCTTGCATTTCTGCAACATGAATTGCACACTTCAGGAAAATATCTAACATTTTATACTTATGCTAAATTTTTACAAGGTTTTTTTTTTATTTACCACCTTCAGATTGGAGTCCAAACATTGCACAGTAGTATAAAACAAAATAATAATAATAAAAAAAAGTATACATACACCGAATCAGTATAAGGAGTAACCTTATTGGTGCGACATGTTTCTTTTCTTCTTTTTTTTTTGGCATATGTGATATCTGTTTGTGAAGCTGTTGTGTTATTTCTGCTAAATTTTTAGAAGATGGTGGGAAAAAGCACTTTGTACTTAATACTGCCCTTTAAACAAATACTGCATAATGGTCTATTGTAATAACAGGCATCTCAAAGTTAATTTACACTTAGAAATCAAAAGCTTCTGTCTCTTCTCGTCATAAAAACCAGCTCTGATGTTTTGTTGCACAAGATTCTCTTCATTAATCCTCTCTCACGCTCAACTTTCTGTTTATGCCCCATGAAAATTCCCATTTCCAAATTTCCATCTGTTAATATTCATAAACTCCTAAGTATTGATAGCTGCTTGCTTAAACTAAACAGAAGCGAGTCAACACTTCGATCATTTTGAGCACACAAAAAGATAACGGGTTGTCTGTTTGGGGTATAAAAATAAAAAATAAAAAAAAACTCAACCTGTCAGTGAAATGTCCTCACTTGAGCAAAGAAGAACAAAAAAAAACAACTTTTTTTTCATGCATTTATACCCAAAGTCTTTTGGAACATGCATTTTTGTAGTCTGTAAACCCTTTTAAACAAATTCAAACCTGAAAAGACCCACAGTCCTGAGTGCTTTTAAAGAGGACATATTATATACCACTTTAACATGTTGATGCAGGCTTTACATGTCCCCGAAATGTTTAAGGTTCAGCTTATACCCCCAGTTTTCAACAGACGCTTTCAGTGCCTGTAGCTTTAAATTAAAAGTGCTGCTGGTGCCCAATCTCCTTTTCAGGAAGTGGTCTGTAAGACACACACGGGAGCAGCCGAAAGCACCACCCAGTGAGAGCAGTACAGCACAGTGTGCCACATAGACGTGAATGAGAGACTCTGATGTTTCTATCATTCTCAGTGTGATCATTTTACATGCAACACAAAGCAATCACAAACAACCACTGATTTGAGCTCATGATTATGAACCATGGATCAATTCAAAAACTGAAACTTTAGCAATGCAGCTTTAAAAACTGGCTCATAACTGGCGACAGGTTACAAGCCAGGTTGTAGTTTGTGTCTTCATATTTCACACTCATTTCATTGTCTGTAAACAAAAACTGAAGATTATGTAAATGAGGTCAGCTGTAGTGGGATTTTAAACGTGCTGAAATGCAGTACAGGGTGCGATGAGGAGAGATGCAAAGAGACGTAAAGGACCGAGCTGAGCTTGGACTAAAGCATTAAAGGTGACATGAAAACACAGAAATGTACACCGGGGCAGGTCTGTTGTATTCAGGTGCATCTATTCACCAGTGGGGCCTGTATGTAACTACATGCAATATCTCTAGAGATGCTCTTTTGCCATCTTTTGTGGAAAAACAAAGTAGATATGCATAATATGTCCCCTTTAAAGATCAAAGTGTCCGACTGTGATTTATCTGACATCCCTCTCGTCATGGCCGTACCTGCTGATATGTAACTAAATAACAAAAAGCACTGTTAATGTCTCTGGGTTTGCTTCCAGGGAAGAAGAGAAGTCCTCAAAAGCAACACACTGTAATTCTATTCTCCGCAGCATTTCGTCTTGTAATATTTGCAGCCATCTGCCCGTTTAGCATTATACAACACCATGTCACTACAGCGGCCACTGAGACACCACAGCTACCAAAAACAGCTCCAGGGATGTGACAACATCTTATTTGTACACCTCAACATTAAGGATCAAAGTTATCCAACAAATAAACCGTGTTGTTTTTAGGTAGCGTTTTCTCTTGCTGCAACATGGCTTCAGAATAACATGCTGCTACATTTACAAAGTGCTCAAGATGGGGCTTCTTCACCGTGGTGCAAATTCCTCAGCTTCCTGTGAGGACAAGAGTGGAAAAAGGGCTCAGAAGACCTGGGGATGATAAAAGTTGAGAAACAGTTTGAGAATGAGCAGACCCTTAGTGAGGCATCATCTCCAACTCTATATTTTGGATTTATAGCAGTTAAGAGACCAGATATCCTTCTTTCTGCTGATTTACCCAAATACACTAAAAGGCATACCTGAATCCACTCTGTGTATATACAGCATATATAGGGATATGTATGTTTATAAGTACAGTGTTGTGCAAATGTCTTGAGCCACCTCTCACTGCTATATATTTTCCAAAAAAATTCCAGACATTTATTGAATCCTGCAAACATACACGGAAATACAGAGTTTGTACAGTTCTAACAAGTTCAGCAACAGAGCTTCAGGCCTTTTGTTCTCTTCTCTGTCAAGATGATCCCACGCTGCTTCAATAATGTTGAGGTCTGGGCTCTGAGGAGGCATTTTATTGCGATTTTTGAATCACTTATTGCTAAAAGATGAAGCTGTTACCAATCAGACACTTTCTAGATGGCATATCATGGTGAATCAATATCTGACAATACTTATTATATTTGTTTCATCACAAATCCCACAAACCAAGGCAGCAACTCCCCCGTGTTTTACAGATGGCTGTAGTCACTCACTGTTGGACCTCTTCTGACCGCCACCATACATGTTGATAATAAGTTTTAAATGTGGATCCCCTGCTCTGTGATCAGAATTTACACCAAAAATACAGAATCTGAATTCCTTTGTTTATAAGACCTGTTGCCACTGATTTTCACTCCAGCTCCTGTGTAATTACACACACCTCAGCCACTTCAGATAACAGGAGATGAAGTCCAGATGCAACTTTTAGGTCCATTTTTTCACGTTTTTGAGGCCTGCCAGGTCGTCTTTATCCAGGTTCCTTCATTTTTTTTTAGGACACACTGCACACCATGTGGAGATGTGCCAAATTTAAAGCTAATAGCTCTGTGTTGTGTAACTGTCTTATGTTTGGATTTGGGGTGTTTTTTTAATAGATTCAACTCAAGGAAATGGGAACAAATAATCTTCGTGACAGGCTCCTAATAACAAAGTGCCTAAAGATACAATTTAAAATTAAACAACAAACATTAAACAAATTTCCTCTGAAAATGGTCAGGTACGAGGACTGGACTCAAAATGAGGCCAGAGAACTATTGCTAAAGATCACTTTTAAAAAATTCAAAAACATCAGTCTCAAAAGTTTTGCACAGTAATGAAGCAAAGTGTAAAGATTCCAACCTCTCTTTATCTCAAAGTGCTCTCGTCTCTGCCTCAATCTTCCTCTCTCCGTGAAGGGTGTCGGGGTCAGCCGGGGCCACCGTCTGTCTCACTGCAATCTCAGGGCCTCCGCCATAAATTCCCAACAAGTACTGCCAAGTCTCCTCTGAGATCTGACCATAGTCTGCACCTGTGGTGAAAAAACACGCAATGTCTAAAAACAGTACATTGATTTTCTACCTTTATGTCCTTTTCAACCTCCTCAGACTTACCTTGCTTTAGCTGTATATGTCCTCCTTTCATAACACCGATTTTACTGTTGTCGATGGGACCGGGTGGCTCTGGGAAAAGGAAAGTATAAAAGTATTTGGTAAAGAGAGAAAGATGGGAACTCGAATGCGCTGCTACTCATCGTACCATTGTCTTTGCCCTTCACAAAGCTCTCCCACTCTCTGAACCACTGCATGCTGATACACAGGATCACTGTTGGAGCCTCCTCAGCTTGAAACTCTTTGTTCAGCTACACACAAGAGAAAAAAAAAGTTCATTCAACACAAAGACACTTTAGCACAAAGGTAAACTTTTGCATAACACACACGTTTACCTTGATGAAGGTGTCAATTTCTGTTTTTCTGCGTTTAGCTAGAGCTTCAATCTCCACCTGACAGATTGCACACATGTAGAGGTGGTTGACTGCTGGGCCACCTCCGAAGCTGAAAGCAGAAAAAATCCGTAACAGAGAGATTAACACATGATTTGATAAGGAAGTATAAGGCCTTTTTGTTGGTCTTTACATCAATGCTGAGATGCATGTCATCTTTAAATGGGTGCTGCTGCCTAATATAATCAAAGTGGTCAACAATGTTGCTACATGACATAACCATTCAGCTCTTATGCCGAGTGACAGTTTTGGTCATTTTGATCCTAAACAGCAGCAGCGTCTGGTTTCTTTTTTAATACAGACAAAAGTACTGAGTGACACCTCTTCAACCTTTTTCAGGTATAAAAATCAAGCACCTAACCACGCAGCTTGACTTTACACACGTTGGTGAAAGAGTGGGTCATTCTAAAGCGCTCAGTGAATTCAAGTGTGGTGCTGTAATACAATGCCACCGTTGGAACAAGTCAGTTTGCGACATTTCCTTCCTCCTAGCTCAACCTCCTTGTTCTAAGTGCTATTACTGCAAAGCAGAAGTGCTTGGCACCAAAGCAACTCAGCCACAAAGTGACTGTCACTTTTGTGTGTCTGATTTCAAGAGTGCTGGTCGAGATCTGTGTAAATAGTTTTGTAAATCAGACAACTTGTTCTGTTTCACTGTATATACTGAACACTACAGGAGTGAGAAGCCTTCAATCATTAAAACCTCTTTTCTCTTGTTTACTGGATAGGGGTTTAGGTGAGCAAATTGTCTTTTGTTTGACTCTTAATTTGGTCAGGGAAGATTAGGGACCTTTGGAGATCTTTTGTTTGTTTCATTGCCATAGCTCACTGCTGAAGTCAATAAATAGCTGCATAGCATTTGCAATTGCTCTGTGTTTTGGCTCTTTCTTGGGTGGAGTTGGAGTGGGGAAATCACATTTCTTGTTACGCCCAGGTTATCCCAGGCCAAGGTCGTAACATAGTCATACTGAGGTTTGTTTGGCAGCATGGAGCACGTTTACCTGTTGTAAAGGTATTCCCACACGTTCTGGGGAACAATCACAACCAGATCATCTATGTAGTGGTATTTATTAGGAGGGATCCCTGCACAGAGATGAAACACGTTAATAAAGACAGTGCAGGCATGTTTTTCTAATCAAGACAAGTCAGTGGACGACTTAATAAAAATATTTATACCAAGCTGCAGGCTGAGCCATGAAAGTAAAGCGAGCAATTCTGATTTTAAAGAAGAGACTTATTAACCACACATACCGCCATGTTGACAAAGAAACGTGTGGTTGCTGATGGGGCCTGGCTCAGCGAAGGTGTTGAACTTGTTGAGCCATTCTCTGGAGATGTAAAACTGCAGCAGGCTGGGCTCCTTCATATTGGCCAGAGCCACCACCTTCTGCCTCTCTCTCACAGCCTCCTCGCTACTTTTCCTGCACGAGTACAATAGAAATAAATCACTTAACACATCTTGGACAAATTAGCGTAGAGTCTATGTAAATGACGCCTTTGCTCACCTATAGAACAACACATAAGCCTCTGCGTTCTGCACCACCGTCTCATGGACTTCGGTAACATACTGGTCATCAAACTCATACCACTGGCCGTTGATTACATTCTGACAGTAAGCTATGTAGTGCCCACCTGCACCCATAAACAGCATGACAAAACATATTAGAGACAGATGCCAATCGGATATGTGTTTTGCTCGCTCTGTGAGAAATATTGCCCATGGGGGAAATAATATATCAACAGGAAACTTTGTGGTCTCATACTTCCTGCAGTGCCATGGTGGCAAATGACTGACAGCAAGTCGTAAGTGGTAACTTGCGATGGACTCTCTTTAGCCAGGAAAGGTCGCATGTCGAGGCCCTCGAGCGGGAAGGACACGTGGCTGCTTATCTTGAACGAATACATGACCTCGTGCCGAAAACGTTTCAGGTGAATGCACAGAATCTATGCAGCAAATACAGGACAAAACAAGGAAATTAAAGATGGCATTATGCAGCAGATTGCAAATGAAACCGATGTGTTATCTACGGAAAGAAAGTGCTGAGCTAAAAAAAAAAAAAAAGTAAAAAGAAAAAAGAAAAGAAAACCGCACCTCTGGAAGTCTAAGCACTTTGCAGTATTTGACACCATTTCTCAACCTGTAGAAAAGAAAACACTGTGTGAATAAATGCATACAAGTACTCTCCTTTTAAATCAAGGATATATATTTCAAGCATTTAATTTGACGCACTTTTTACATCTCTCACAGCTGTACATGTTATCCCCTGGGAAAAAACAAAGAAAATGAATGGAAATTGAAATTCTGACATATAAACTATGCTAGTATTGGAGCATTATTAGAGCACCAATTACCTTTGAGTTCATCTGCAGCAAAAAAAGCAGCAAGGCAGTCCTCTAGTGTTACCATGGGCCCCCAAAACCAACTGGGGATACATGAGACTACAAACCTGCACAACACAAACACAAATACTCATAACAAAAAAAAACCAAAGCAAGCTGGAGAAATATTAGCTTTAAAAGGCAACTCTAAACTTCAGCGCAGTTGATCACATAGTGAAAATGTTTCCCCTTTTTCAATTAGTCATTTTTAATCATTCTTACTAATAAGCCTGAATATTCTTTAAGCTTGATTCTCAGACAAAACAAAGTGAGTTAGAGGATGGACTGATGTGAAAGTTAGAACATCTGGAAAACTGCAATTCCTTGAAATGGCCGTTTGGGGCTGGCTCCAAAAGCGAGTCAAAATTATATTTATTGTATTAAGAATTAAGGTTATTGGGGGCGTGACTTAATAACTGGAAATCTTAAGGTTACAGATGTCCGCTATAATCACTAGAGTCTTTGCAAAGACTCCACCAGAGCTAATTAAAGCTAACTGAAGTCACTCGCCCTTTCTGAGGCGACTTTGGGTTAATTTGATAAGAATTACCTGCCAATAACTAAAAAATGGAGTAACAATTCATCCAAAAGCACTCATATAAATAATTATAAATCACTCAAGTGTTTTCCATTGTAACCACCAAATTTCCATTGGAGAATAGCTTCAAATCATAATGTAATTTTGCTGCTTTTATTTTGAAGGCGGATGTCTGTTTTTTAAGTAGTTTTTAAAAATGACTTTGACTTCTAAGAATTTATTTACTGAAGTTGGAGGTAAAGTTGTATGCTTAGTTTGTGTAGAGCAGATTAGTGTGATTCACCACTGAATCACCACGATGAAAAGATGAATACAAGATGAAACACGTAGACTTGAAGAACTTGACTGTTTTAGAGAGTGAAAGTTTTAAACATCCACGTATGGGGTGGTCAAGACCAGCTTTGTGAGTTCCCACAAAAACAACTGAAAAACAGTAAAAATATTCTCAGTAAGAATATTTTTACTTTTTGGGCCGGACTAACACACCTTGATAAAACAGCATTTGAAAATGTGCAAACTGTTAACAGGAAGGAACGAGGACATTTCGGGGAAATCTAAAGCTTCGGCTGAAAACAAAGCAGACAATTTTGACTTTTTCTCCTTGCCACCGGATGAGAAATGTGATATCTGCAACACAGCCCAATATAAGTCTATGTACACGTGAAACAAGAGAGTTTGACATCATGGAGGAGCTGGAGTGATTCGTCCATGACGGTAACCGCATGCTTGGATAGGCTGGAGCTGAAACGGCACAAACTGGCAGGTGTTACAACGAATGGCTGTCTAAATCTGAAGAAAGATAAAGTGACTGAAATGAACACAGAACTGAAATTGATGTTTTTGCACACCAGGAAGTGTTGTGTAAGTCATTGCTAAAAATGAACCATGTTGCAAGAGCAAAAGCACCGAATCATTGTTATTTCACATCATCATCACTGCTGGATCTTTATTGCTCTCTCATAGAGGAGAGATTTCCGTGTATCAGAAGACGCTCTTTGGCTCTACCTTCATATGTCAATAAATATGCTTAGTGACTAAGTTTAACAAATCCCCCCTCAGTGATGATCACCTGTCTGCTGTCCTTCATATTTCTACCTGCAGCGCTCCACAACAGTCCCGGTTTCTCATGGGGAAAAAGCTGACCCCTGTGTTAGCTGATAACAGCATTGTCAAAACACGGCCACTTCTGTTTCCATAATATCAAGATTGCAACAGCCGTGAAGGTAAAAGTCAAAGCTTTGAAACAAGACTTCATAAACTAGTCTGTGCCATCACAGCAGAGTAGTAATGTGAACATGAATTTTTGAGCTCTGATGACGCAAACAAAGCGTAGGAGTATGACCTTATAGGTCAGATCTTATCTGCACTCCTTCCTGAGGGAGATATCTGGCTCTTTAGTCTCCGGATGCTCTGCCTGTATAGTGCCAACATACGTGCACAGGTAGTTTGATGGTGATTTTTGGAAAAATACACTTACCAATGAGACCGAACCAAAAGAGTACCGTAATTGTCGGGCTATAAGCCGCTACTTTTTGCACAAGCGTTGAACCCTGCCGCTTTTAGTCAGGTGCGGCTTTTCTATGGATTATCCATGAGTTTTGTCATATCATAAGACGATTTTTTTGTTTGTTCCGCTGTTGTACGGCACTACGTTGCCTGGCGGAAGGGCATATGATCAGACACACAGTATCGGGGTTCAAGAGTGGTATGTTGGTCACATGTCCATCCGCCAGGCAACGTAGTGCCGTACGAAGTAGCGCGAAAAACAAAATTCAAAGTAGCGCTACGCGTTCAGTGGGAGGCATGGATGACGAGCGGCGATAAACTTGCGAAAAGCAAGTTATGCTCAACTCCACCGGTGGATTCTGACAGCGTGGAAAAGTGTGAAAACATCCACGATCACCAACGGATTTTGAAGGGCTGGACTGCTGCATGATGGAGAGGAGGACACCGCCACGGCCCTTCAGAGGGTGTTCGACTCTGACACTGACAACGAGGATTTCTTTGGTTTTGAAAGTGACAACGAAGGAGAGAAGCGGAGAGTGGATGACGAAGCCATCCTGAGCCTGTTAGTATCCGACACTGGAGAAGAGGACTTTGGTGGTTTTAGAGCGCAGGAAGAAGAGAAAGATGGTGGTGAATGACTGACTTTTCTTCTTGTTAAAGCCGTGTCACTGCACCTGAGCCTAAAAGGTAGGCCGAATCTATTTTCCTGGTGTGCTGTAGGTTACTGTTATGTACTACATTTGTTACTCGTTTATGAAGCACAGTACATGTTTCGTACTTGTACTTACCGGTACTTGTACATATACCTAAAAAGTTGTGCAAATATGTACCCATAACTTGTTTTTCAAAATATTAATAAAAGTGATGTCTCCAAACAGCCATCTCTTTCCTGACAATTCCCTTTGTGCATATTCTCTTACATATGATAAGTCAACATTGAAACACCTGCGGCTTTTAGTCAGGTGCGGCTAATGTATGTACAAAACAGGATTTTCCCCTGATTTTAGCTTGTGCGGCTAATACTTAACACACTGTTTGCTGCTATAACTACACATGTTTCTTTTTCAGCTATTTATTTATGAGTGACTTATGTATGTATGTATGTATATATATGTATATATTGTACTATTCTTAGTTAGTGTATTGTCTGTCTTGTCTTAATGTTGGTTTATAATGGAGCACTGTAACAAAAAATAATTTCCCCCAGGGATCAATAAAGTATTCTGATTCTGATTCTGATATTCAGGTGCGCTTTGTAGTCCGGGAAATACAGTAATGTTTTAAGCCAAAAAACAAAAACAGTAATAAGTTCAAAGATGCTCTAAGTCAGCAGAATTTTTTAAAAAGAGAATAAATCTGGGTTAAACAATAAAAGCCCTCTTCCACCATTGCTTGAGTGTTATTATGAAATCAAAGGAGTAGCTTTTAAAGGGAACCCCGGCTATTAACACATGTTTGCGCTAAAATATGCACTGTGCTTCCAATAACATATATGTGGTATTAAAATATGCCAAATGTTTTCCTTTTAGGCACATTTTATACAAAACCGATTTACCAGTAGGCCGCCATTGTTATTTACTTCTCAGTGCACTCTGGGTCTCTGTCGGGGATGCATAATTTGGCACGACGCCATTGCCATTGGCAAGCAGTAGCTGCATAGACACCAGTAGTTTTCCCTCACTTTCACATCCTCGTGTGACGGATTGTTTTCATCTTCATCTAAACTAAGTATTGGTTGACTATTTTCATCCTCTCTCAGATTGTTCTGGTTCAAACTGGAAAGGTTGAACAGAACCCATTTCCAGGGGACTGCTAACTGTTAACTCGATGCGGTGCAACCGTGTGACGTCACTATCCAGAGTATTTTTGCTGAAAAGTGTAAGTGTAGTGCTTTTCAGAGCCACCTTAAGTTTACCAAATCTGTCCAACCAATGAGTAACTGAGTGACTCTAGATGGCCTCTCTACATGTCCTACACACAAACTTTATCTGTTTATCAGCACATTTTCAGAAAAAAATGTGATAAATCATTGAAGGAAGTTATCTATGAGGCATCACCTGCAATACACTTCCTCTAACTAGCAAAGTGATTGCTAGTTAGAGGAAATAAACTATTCATTTTTTAGATCTATTTAGTTTATAGATCTGGCATAGCACATGCGTTCATCTTCATCATCGAACACACAGACACGTGTTGCAGCACCTACTGAAAAGACTAGCTAAATAAGAAGCTTTTGTAGTTTTATGATTCGTTTTCAGGAAATACACAAAGACTTTGAAAAAAACCGACAGGCCAAGCAAGTTTCTACTCGCTGTTAATTCTGTAAAAATGTTACCTTGCAGGCATATAGAAAGCTTATCTAACTACATCTGAAGTTACAGGAAACTAAAGTCAGAAACATACCAGATTAAAAGTATATCGGTAACATCAGCAGTCAAAATTATGCACAACTAAGGTTCAAACATGCAAACGTCGTCTCAGCCTTTTTCAATTATATTTCATTCACTGACCGCCGTATGGAGTCCATGATGTAGGAGATCCACCCCTGCGAGCCGTAAGTGTCAGGGCACACACCAGTCTTCACCGGCAGGTTCTGATGGATGGATGAATGGAGCTTTGCTAGGTCTTCTTTACCAGGAATAGGGAGGGATAAGTCCTGGAAGGTTTCCACTGTAGTTGAGACCTGTACCAAATTCAGAGAACCAGTTTAAACAGCATACCTCTAGCAGTAAAAGAGCAATTATGAATGTGTTTTAATCACTCTAATTACACAAAAAAGTCTGTATAATACTGAAATGAAATAATTGCACAAGTCACTTCATTTCATTTAAACCTGCTTTGATAGGAAATGTAATATAATTTAACAAATAAACATATTTTATCAAGCGTATACTCTACCTCCCCCTTGTGTTCAAATATGTGAAGTGCATCTTACCCTGTCACAGGTCAAACACTGGACTAGACTGAGGATCGAACCATCAAAGATGTCCGAGATCACACTGCGATAGTGAGACTGTTTTTTCTTCCTGGCACTGAGCAGCAGCTGAGCTGGAAGACACATGATGGGAGGGAGGGCTGGCTTCAGAAGACAAAGGCAGAGAGCATCTCAAAGAGTGCCACCTTAACTAACATCTTTGTAACTGTGTATACTCAAACTGAAAATGACTTTCAGATACTATTCATCAGCTACACATACCTTTTAATGCCTGCCACTAATTCATTCATCCTTCACTTGTCCAGTTTTCTCATTTTTTAAAGGCCACACTGCACACCATGATGAGACATCCCAAGTTTTCAGCTAATATGTGTCAAAGTACTACTTTATGCCTATCAAACTGTGTTATCATTGACATTTTAAATTCAGCCAAAGAAATGGGAATAAATTATGTGGTTTTTTTTCAACCGACTGACGGTTTGAATGATACACGAGTCACGTGAGCCTCCACAGTCACCTGACCTAAACCTTGGAGTGAAAATGAGTGTAAAAGCAGCCAACATCTCCAAAAATAAAAAACTTAGAAAGACTCAAGAACTCCACTTTGGACAGTGTGATTCTACAGGCAAAGACTCGCCTGCTTCATATGTGAAACATTAAGAAGCATCCTATGTTGTTTACTTACAGTTCTGTACATGCGACTACCACGGTAGTGCGGTAAAAATGTGTTTTACCGAGGCAAATGTTTCTCAACCTGGGGACTCTGTTAAAATTGTGAAGCATCTTGAGCAGTCTATGAGAAATTTTCTCACCTTTTTTGAAGGAGTATGCAGGTCCTGAAGAGCGGAGAGGGCTGGACCGGGGGGGACTGGAGGACAGTTTGGGATGCAGCTCTTGAAGGGTGCGCACAGGACTGCAGGGAGTGGACTGGGGCTGGGTCATCGATGCTTCATTGTCTGGCTCTAGAAAACATCACAGTGGAAACACAAACTTAATGATAACTGATGATATTCTACAATACATAACTGAATAATCCAATATATAAATATATAGATATATAAATATATAAAATCACTGTATTCCTGCTGGTCTTGTACCTGAGCTGTTGTTGCTCGGGACTTGACTTTGCCCTGTGTTAGACGTCTGATGGTTTTCCTGACTTTGGACTTCTGTGTTTGGGGCTGCAGGCTCCTCTTCATCCTCCGCCCTCCTTTCTGGAAACCCTTCCTCAACTGCTGTGTCCACATCAGCATCTTCATCCATCTCTTGTGAGCCTCCATGGAGCGGGGAGCCGGGTAACCTCCTTTCTTTAAGCCTCTCCTTCTCAGAGATCACTGTACCACTACTGACGTCCCCCATTCCACCTGCCGGTGACCGTATCCCATCACACTCATCCTGGATGAGCAGCTCGCTGTCACCCACCCCTCCTCCCTCCCCTCGGTCACTACTGGAGCCAGAGTCACAGGAAAGGAACTCATCCTCAGAGGGGGAGCGGTCTCCGTCTCTTCTGTCCTCCCCGTCGCTCCCGTCGTAGCCCACGCTACACTCCGACAGAGGCTCCTTCAGCTCTTCGTGTAGCTGGTCCATCAGACAGCGCAAGAACTCCTGAGTGTCCTGGACAACACAGAAACCTTATATTAACTGCATGGATAGGGCCGCATTCACAGAGAACATTTGTAAATGGACAATAGATAAACACAAATATTGCAAGCAAAAAGACAGAAACATTGGAGTAACAAGAAATCGGTTTGCACATTAGCGAGATACCATGTGCCGATCACAGCCACTGCGTAAACAGACAAATCAAACATTAACTAAGCCACCGAGAAAATATGGAAAAAATAACAAGAAACTGGATTGGAGATATCTCGATACTGTGTGACTGTCTGCATTTTCTCTTTAAATAGGATCAGACAAACTAAAATACTAAGTCTGACTTGAAGTTTATCCTTAGACGTGCCATGAAACATAACTGGGTAAAAATGAAGCCCTCGGTCTTTTCAGTATTCAAATATGAAGGATACAGAACAACAGAAGTAAAGCCTGTGTTATTCCAAGGAGCAGTTATCTTTCAGATTAAGCAGCCTCTCAGAAGGGAAAGGGAAATTCAATTCCTGTCTTTATGTTAAAAGAAAAAAAATCCATTTCCTATTACTTTGTCTAGTTCCCCCTCCAGACAAATGGCATTTGACGGAAGGCTTGTAGTCTAACAATGAAAGTGATTAAAGATAAAGGAAAACAGGAATTAACACTAATGTGGATTTCTCTTTGTCAAAAGCCAATCAACCATGTTTGTGTACTTGCTTTAACTGCCACAAGGGGGAGACAAACTGCAGATTTAAAACTGAGTCAAAAATAATGGACTGCACTTTAAAATACACAACCGAGTAATCTTGTGAAAAGCATTTTTTGCAAATCCAAGGGTTTAATGATATAAAATCCAATAAAAGGACAGTGTCAAGATGCTGTTGAAGCATGCCGGGCGGACAGCCCTACCTGCTGAGCGTAACCACGAAACATGGGGTTCACCAGTTTGATGCCGTGGGACAGGCTGGTAGGGACAACATAGCTGGGCCTGAGAGGGGAGCAGTAATAAGAGACATGCAATTATGTTTTCATTTTAATGACTAAACACTAGTTTGTTGTCCAGTTTACATACAATCACTGTGATGCTTTAATTACCGTTTTTTATGCCAGAGTTCTGAGATGAGTTTCTGGTAGCTCTTACACAAAGCAGGCTTCTTGTCAGTCCTTACCAATCCACCGCAGTCCAGAAAAAACTGAGTGAGAGGAGGGCTAATGAGGGGGCAGAGGGACAGCTGAGGTTAAAGCACCTCTAACATTAGTAGTAGATGTAAAACAAAAGAGAAGCTTTATTGTTTGACTGAAATATGTCCAATGATTAACCTGATTAAAACCAAAACAAACATTAAAGTTGTTCTACATTTTAGGAGGAAAAGCACGCACCAGTTGGACAGGGCTTGAAGAGCTGCGTTCATGTAGCAGGAATTTCCAATGTTTTTCATTCCTGTCAACCCTACAAACAAAGATCCAAAAAAAGATCACCAATCATGAAACACTTTATCCTCTCAGAAAGCGTTCAAACTAAACATCTTAGACATAAAGACTGCTGTACAAGTCAGAGAGAAAAGAAAAACCTTCAAGGCCTGAATAAAAAGAAACCAGGGCAACTTTGACCACCAGTCTAGAAATGTTTGAAGCTGATCAAGCATGCATGCATATATACCTCTGGGTTTAAGCTCATCCTCTTCTGACTCTGAGCCTTCTTCTTCGGCCACAGCAATCGGTACCGCTTTGAGTGGGTGACCAACTGTCTGGGGAGAGGTTTCCTAGAAAGAGAATAAACAAATATTATAAGCATCTTGTGTGTGTGTGTGTGTATTTCTTGTTCTTATGTTAAAATGTAAATTCCACTAGTAAGACACTTAACATAAAAACATGAGCTGGGTTGAACTCATACCTGCTCTGTAGCTTTACAGAGGTGTGCTGCAGCAGCTACGGGCACCAGGGCCGGCCTGTGCTCCAGAAACACCTCTCGCTCACACACATAACACCAGATCCTGAACGTTGTCAGATTCACGGTAAGGTTGTGCTTCTTAGCCTAAAAAGGAAGCACACAATCTGCTTATAGACTACTAATTTAAAAAAAGGGGCTTGCAAATAAATTTTGTATGAAAGGGCCGTACCTGTGCATGCAGGGTGCTGTGATCAGAGTAGGACTCTCCGCACCCGACATACGGGCAGTCATTCTGCAAATCAGACACAATGTAAGATAGGATCTCCTTCCTTTTTGCTTCTCTGTTCAGAATCCAAAAATCAATCAACACCCTTTATCGCTTTCCTGAACTGAAGAGGAACTGCATTTTTAAGCACATTTATACTCCACGCTAACATTAATTATACAGCGTTCACCTGGCCCTCCAGTCTCTGATGATATATGCTAAGCGCAGTGTTGGCTTAGAAGTTAAGCCACCTTTTAGCTTTATAGCTAACTATTTGAGATAATAACGTAAGGTATTTAACAGGATCTAAGTCCTAACCTTACCTGTAGACAGGCCCACAGGTTTGGACCACCAGCTCCACATGACTGACAAGTTCCCTACAGGCAATATTAACACAACATAGTAAAGAAGAAGAAGTTTATATGCATGGATATTACATGAGCACAACACAGCTGAAGTGCTTATTTCAGTCGCCATCCACAACAGGGTATATTTTACATCTGACAGCAGCTTCACTGTATGAAAAGCGCACCTTAGACTTCTGCAGAAGGTCCTCCTTTGTCACCTCGCCTATTGAATCGAGGTGGAGGCAAACGTCTTGTTCAGCCATAGTTACCAACTATCTTCTTCTGGTGGACGTCTGCAAACGTGACAGGCCATTAATAGCAATAAAGTCTTCAGAAAGGGGCTGCTGTAAGCTAACGCTAGCTCCATCACCTCAACACCAAATACACAGACAGACATCGCACTCACCTCGTCTCTGGCTGATAGCTCAAAAGCAGATGCAGCAGCAGCTGTAGTCTGTCATTACCGCGAAGACAACAAGCCCCTAAACAGAAGCTGTCAACCCTGCAAAGGTAAAGGCCTTCTGTTTACCCACCAAAGCTCACGAAACATCTCCTGGCCCGCAGCGACGTGCTTTACAAAGGGCTCACAAACAGGAGCGGCTACCGCGACCCGAAATCTTACTTTTCATGTCCGTGCAAACAGCTCGTGCTGAATGCGAGCAGGTGACAGTATGCTAGCAAGACACCGAGGAGGTGACGCGATATCCCGGCAAACCATCCCCAAACAACCTCCCCCGCGCCACCTCCATCTGCAGAGAGGCCCGGCACGGCACGCACGACCACTGGGGACGACGTCAGGCTGAAGGAGGAGACGTCAGCCCCGGCCACCGTTAGGTCAGCACATGCAAATTCAGTTCCGCTGATGAAAATGAAGGCTCTCTTCTTTTTTAATAATAGATCTGTTTCCTGATTAACATTTGATTCATAACTATTTTATTTGTATATATAGATACATTCAGATTCATAAACCGCAAAGTGCGCTTCGATTTCGTAAAAGTCCCTATTTACGGAAGTGACATAATACTGTACGTATGTCAGAGGTACGTAAGTTAAATGGGTCCCTCGAGTCCATCGGTTGACTGTTTACAGTGCCGTGAAAAAACGAGTGTGTCTCCTTCCCCATTTGTCTTTTCTTGTTTAGTTTAGTTTTTCTTGTTTGATTGTTTGGTTTTGTTTTGTTCTTTTGTTTTTTGTACGGGGCTCATATTTGTCACATTTTCTTTTCACAATTTCAGACAATTTAAATGAAGCTAGAGTAATGTTTGGCCACTGGCATTCAAAGATTTCTTTACACAGATTATGAGTGGAGATAGGTTCAGGCACTAAGTAATATATGAACATATATACAATATTTTTTGTATAGATACAAAAAAATAAACAAATAAGTAGATTAAAATAACATACATGAAATTCACCTAGGACCTGCACAAAATATAATTTTACAGGTTTACCATATTTGACCCACTTATCCCACAGTTTTAATCAAAATCATTTTTCTTAAGAGAAAGAAAGTAGTCCTTTCCATAGTATAAATGTCACGTGAGTGCTTTTTTCTATGCAGCTGTCAGGACACCAAATATATATTCATCAGGGCATCTTAGCCGAAATTATCAAGCAAATGTTAATGTTATGCAGTGAAATCCCAAAATAAATATAAAATGTAGTACTTAAATGATGTTTTAAAAGTGAGTCTGGGGAAGGGGACAGCAGTCCCAACAACAGTGTCACGGTTTGGCAGAAGTAGGACCCAAATGCAGGACTTTCTGAATGTAGACAATGTGTTTATTTACAGCAAAGAATACCAACAAAAGTACTAATAATTCACAGTGTGTGAGTTTTCTGTGCGACAGTTCCTCAATTCCCATGCAGTGATTTTCCTCCGTGGTCCACGGTAAATGTTCCTCTATCCTCTGAGTCTATGTACATAGGTGCCCAGCTCCCGCCACACGTTTCTGCAATCCTCCTGGAAACAAGAGACACTTCAGTTAGTACATCTTCACCTTATGAGCAGGAGAACTGTGTTCCTAATACAACGAACCTGCGCCTAGCACTGCTCCGCTACTCTCTTAAGTAGTGCTTCCTTGACAAGGCTGATCAGTAATAGGTGATATTTCCACTGCACAAGACACTTACAAATGTGGATTGCACAACACTGGACATTATATTTCTTCATTTCCATTTAATACTTGTACGGCTGCTGTTATTGTATATATATATTTATATTTCTTCATACATTCTTATATATTTCTATACTGTGTATTGTGTATTTTGTTGTACAGTTATTTTCTTTTCAATTTTAACTTATATATTTTATCTTATTCTTTCCCAGTTAAATTTACCCTTCATTCTAATTTGTGTTGTACAGTTATTTCATTTTTAACTTTAATTTTTATATTTTATTTTATTTTATTCCTTCCTAGTTAAATTTATCCTTTTTAATTTTCGTATTTATTTCCTATCTTATTCATAGCCTTTTCTTTTTTTCTTTAGGTCATGAGCAGTTGTGTAAGCATTTTACTGCATATCGTACTGTGTATGACTGTGTATGTGACAAATAAAATTTGAATTTGATTTGATTTGATTTGAATGTGATTACTCCAGGTGTGGCTGGCTCTAAGGCGGGAAGACTCTCAAGGCCTGGTGTGGCAGCAAAACCCGAACATCACAGCACACACACCCTTACATGTACACAGGGAAACGAGGGACCAGGAGCAGACAATACCAAACAAACAACAATAGACAATCCTGAGAATCTGATAGACCGTTTTTTGGTAAACCCAATATTGCTACAAAAACTTCAAAGTAGAAGACACGTCTTGGGTCTGTGAGAGTGGGGACGGAAGAAGACCATTTTGAGACAGATTTTATGGCAACGGACCTTGGAACGGTATCAACGATGAATAGATTAACCAGCATTGCAACTATTGGACCATCAATGCTGGTAGGAAAGAAGCTGCAGAACTGCATTTGTGGCTGGTCAAAACTAACAACTGACATGGGCCAAATACGGCATGACATGGCTAATGACCTCAGGCAGATTAACAACACCACACTCCCAGAGAAACTGAAGCTCTGGTGCTTACAGTTTGGGTTGTTACCCAGACTACTGTGGCCACTGATGATGTACAGGGTCTCGCTTAATCATGCCAATCGAATGGAGAGGCTAGTGAGCACCTACATGAGGAAGTGGCTTGGACTTCCGAAATGCCTAAGCAGTGTTGGACTCTACAGCGACAGGATACTGTCATTGCCTATCCCTAACCTAGCAGAGGAGTTCAAATGTGCAAAAGTGAGGCTGGAGATATCACTCACAGACTCCTGGGACTGAGAGGCGCTGCTCCCACCCTAGCAACGGGGAGGAAGTGAACCCCAGCCATGGCTGTGCTACAGGCCAAATCTGCTCTTCTCTATCGTGGGCAACGTCCAACAGGGCAGAGGAGGGTTGGTCTTGGAGCAGTAACACCTTTCTGGTAACAGGCATCTGTAACCGAATGTTGAAATATGATGGTGGAGGAGGTGCGTCGACAGGAGGATGCAGCCAGAAATGCCAGAGCTATCTCCCACCGATCACTCACCAATCACACATTTTCTTAAAAGCTTGGACTTTCCTGAGCTGGCAGACACCCACAGAGAGATCTTGGATGCGCCATTTTCCAAAAAAGAGATTTGCGCTGCAATTTTCTCTCTACAGTCAGGGAAGTCCCCTGGCCCAGACGGCTTTTCGGTAGAATTTTTCCAAATCATTTGCCCCACAGCTCGTACCTCTACTCCACTCAGTTCTACCTGAAGCATTCACACAGGGCAAACTGCCAACCTCCTGGCACGATGCTTCCATAACTTTAATTGCAAAACAGGGGAAAGATCCAACTGAGTGTGCGTCATACAGGCCAATTTCGCTTTTGAACGTCGACTTTAAGATCCTAGCTAAAGCGCTGGCCCACAGGTTGGAAAGGGTCCTGCCAGCAGTCATACCTGAAGATCAGTCTGGCTTTGTTAAAGGTGCCACCCCTTTTTCAACATCCAACGCCTTTTTAATATCCTGCACACGCCATCCAAGGACACTCCAGAATGTGTTCTTTCCCTTGATGCGGAAAAAGCATTTGACCGTGTAGAATGGAACTATCTATTTGCTGTGCTGGAAAGATTTGGGTTCGGTCCCAACTTCATCTCATGGATCAAGTACCTATACTTGTCCCCTGTTGCGTCTGTTTGCACTAATAGCCAGAAATCAAAACCATTTCAACTTAAACGAGGCACACGTCAGGGTTGCCCCCTTAGCCCATTGTTATTTGATCTAGCTATTGAACCCTTAGCAATGCTTTTTCAAAGCAGTAAACTTGTCCAGGTTATACAAAGAGGTCAAACTGAACACAAAGGCTCTCTCTATGCTGACGATTTATTGCTTTCTATTTCAAATCCAAATACTTCCCTACCGTCTATATTGTCACTACTCATGCATTTCAGTCAAGTCTCTGGTTATAAATTAAATCTGTCCAAGAGCGAACTTTGTCTATTAAATGAAGAAGCGTTTCCAATAGATTTGTCAGGTTTCCCCTTTAAAGTGTTCAAAGAGCAGTTCACCTACCTGGGTATCACAATTACAAGAAAGTATAAACAACTTCTCAAAGCCAACTTTTTTACACTATTGAAGAATGTCAAACAAAGCCTTCAACAGTGGTCACCCCTGAACACAACTCTGGTTGGACGAATTAATTCAATTAAAATGAATATCCTTCCTAAATTCTTATACTTATTTCAATTTTTACCGGTCTTCATTCCCAAGTCTTTCTTTACAACTCTAGATTCTATAATCTCCTCTTATATTTGGAAGGGTAAACGACCTCGAGTAACTAAGGTGCACTTACAGAAACCTAAGACTGAAGGGGGTCTGGCACTCCCTAACTTCCGCTTTTACTATTGGGCTGCCAATATTCGGTCCCTGACCTACTGGTTACAGTCTGGGGAAGGTGTGGGCGCAGTTCAGGAGACATTTCAATTTGAATAATTTTTCACTTCAAAGCCCCATCCTTTCAAACCACCTATTCCTCCCCCCAACCTTGGACAACTTGTTCCAGGTCTGGTCTAGAGCAGGTATTATTTGCTTTAAAGATCTCTTTATACACAATAAACTAGCATCATTTGATCAGCTGGCAGGAAAATACAGTCTTCCCAAAACTCACTTTTTTAGATATTTACACCTCAGACATTTTTTGCAGTCCCACCTCTCCAATTTTCAAGAAGCTCCAGCTGCTAAGTTACTGAACGAGCTCCTTAATTTGCAACTATCAGGCAAAGCTGTAATGTCTCGCATCTATAACAAACTGTGCAGTGTAACCCCAGCTCCCGTTGTGGGCCTCAAGTCCACATGGGAGAAGGAGTTGGGTATATCTATGTCAGATGACGTCTGGGACTCAGTCTTCTCTCTGGTAAATTCTACATCACTCTGCGCCCGTCATTCCCTGCTACAATTCAAAGTAGTCCACAGGGCCCACTTATCTAAATCCAAACTAGTTAAGCTTCATCCCAGTTTAGACCCTCAATGTAACAGGTGCGGGTCTAATGATGCCAATCTAACCCACGTGTTTTGGACCTGCCCTGCCCTGGCAAATTTTTGGGAGGAGGTTTTCTGCACTTTGAACAAGGCTACCAGCCTGAAACTAGCTCTCAACCCCCTACTTGCTCCCTTTGGTACAGCGGGAGAGGATGATAAGTATATTCCCAGAGCAAAGAGCAGGGTGTTTTCGTTTTTTCTTCTCTCTTTTTGTTTTTTGTCTGTTTTTGGGTTTTTTTCTCGTTGCTTGTTTGGTAAATAATAAGAGAAGAAAACAATGTTCCAACATGAGTTCTGTTTTGTATTCATTGTAAACAGTTTGTGTTTTTCCATCTTCTTTTTTTCTTTGTAAACTATATCCACAAATACTCAATATTTTGAATAAAAAAGAAATGCCAGAGCTGTAGCGCTGGCCAAGCAGGGTCGCTGGATGAATTGGGAGTGTCTTGAAAAGAGGAAACTCAATGGAGTGAAATCTGCAGAATGGAGTGTAATAGGCTAAGTTTCATCATCTAAGCCACATATGATGTGCTGCCTTTCCCCATAAATCTGCAGCTTTGGTTTGGAAAGGACCCATCCTGCCCCCTGTGTGCACACCCAGCAACACCAAGAACATTTTGGTTTGTTGTAGGACTAGCCTTACTCAAGGCAGGTACACATGGAGACACAACCAGGTCCTCGGGTGTCTAGCTGAAAAAGTTGAGTACAAAAGGGAATACATTAACACCCAACTTTTCACAAACCAAGAGGAGCATCGGTATTTGTCCGGGAGTAGGACAAGCTAAGAACTAGCTCTTCAACCCCCGGATCTGGGACCGCTGAAGGTCGCCAGGGATTGGCAGATGCAAGCTGACTTGGATGAGAGACTAATTTTCCCCACAGAAATTGTTACACCTCATTTGTGACCAGACCTTGTCTTTTGGCCTAACTCTCAAAAACTTGCTTATGTCATTGAGCTGATGGTACTGTGGGAGGATGTAAGACACATGCCCTGTGGTGGGCCTGCCTGAGCCGATGGTGTCTTGTGATAAAAGGCCGAAACACCCTGTGAAGTTAAAGCACACAACTGATGATGTGTCCTGCTGGTAAAGCTTCCAGGCTGCCTTTCCTCATAGTAGCCATCCCTCAAGACTTTCTCCATTAGAAGCAATGCAATATCAGGGATTGTAACAGCTAGTCCTTTTATTGAATCACAATATTCATTAAACCCAAAGCAACACATGAGACCCGGGTCCTGCAGCGGTGGAGAAATTGTTCTGGTGGCCTGCTGCAGATCTGGCAGTGGCAGAGAAAAAGTTCTGATGCCGACCACAGGTCCAGTGGCGGCGTGGCATGGCAGATGACCAGCGATATGATGGAGCTGCCAACTGTGGCTGAGCAGCTCAGGCTATGGTAGGTCGAATAGGTCCCCACAAAGAACAGACCTCTGGCGTGGGCATGGCAAGTCCAGACAGCCCACAGAACCTCTGGCTTGGGCAGAGCAGGTCCTTCCGGCATGCTGACCTCTGGCTCAGGCAGAGATGCGACTGGGCCTGAAAGCAGTGTAGAGGCCACAGGCGGTTGAGCAGGTGGCAGCATGGCAGCTGCAGGCATGAGCAGATGGCAGCGTGGCAGCCGTAGGTAGTTGGTGGTGTGGCAGCTGCAGGCGGTTGAGTAGGTGGTGGCATGGCAGCCGCAGGCGGTTGAACAGGTGGTGGCGTGCCAGCCACAGGCGGTTGAACAGCAACAAGCTGTGTGGTGGTCAGTTGGATCAGGTGGCAGGATGCTGGACAGACATGGCACACCCTCAGGGTTTAATCTAAAACCCTGGCTGCTAAGTTCAAAGGAAAACTTTTAGATATCGGTAAATACACAGAACACAACTACTGGTCTGATTTCCTCAGTTTTTGCACACCATGCCAAGTTTTGGGAATCATATTGTTGGCAAAATACTATTTTATGCTTGTCAAATAGTATTAAACAAACTAAATGGTCATAAACTGCAGTACAGAATTACTATGATCAATAAAATAAAGTTAAATCAATTATTACTGTTTATTTTCTTCTACTTTTTAAGTTTTCGTTTTTAAAATAAAGTGAAACTAAACTAGAAATGTGTGGTATGACGTTACTACGTCATAAAAAATCCTATGCTTTTAAAACAAAACGTTAATGTTAATTTTTCATTCATATAAATGTTTAGAATAATATGTTTTATCAATGCGGCAAAGAAAATTAAAATAAATCCCAATCATTGATACGTCAGTGTAACACAGATTCCGAGTCAGTATTCCGTTTTTTAAGAAACAAAGCTTGAACTGGCAGGTAGCTGTAAAATCTGACTTCAGATCGGCACTTTTGGAAGCCACGTAACACGCAGCAAGCCTCGCGGTATTTACGCTACCCAGCATGCCCCGGTCTTCCTTTCTGCCTGAACCGACATGGTGGGTACATAGCTGTTCCTTCTGGGGGAAATATGTTATCTGTTGTATCTGTTTGCATCCTTTCATACATTTATATTTTTATACTGTAGAAAGTGCCAATTAAGTCTTTGAACTTTGTGTAGGGCCGTGATGTTAATATTGTGCTTTGATGCTGTGTTGTTTTTGCGAAAAACGTAGGTTATGTTGGTCGATGTGTAACCGGTGCTAACAGTGCTGTGGCTGCCTGTGGAGTGCTGAAGCTAAAGGCGATGAACATGCTTGTTTTAGAAGCTCGTTTTTGTTTTGTTTTTATTAAATTTTTGTGTTTTTCTTTTTAATTTTCCAGACGGTTGTATGTATTTTGTAAAGTAGAAGTACAATACTACCGGGGTACAAGTTTGTGTGCCCTGCTAGTTTACTGACTAGCATTAGGGAATGGGCCTGAGCGTGGGTCGGTATTAACCTTCCTTTTGGCCTCACATTAGTTGTGTTTCTGTCGTTTATTGAATGTATTCACAAACACGCAAGTTTTACCTACGTTTTCATTGATACGTTATCATCCTGAATCGGTCTTTAGTTCAGTGTGTATGACGTCCCTTAGGTGTTGGTGTAGCAGCATGGAGATTAGTTGAGCTCTGAAGTAATTCTCTGGCTTTTGGGGTTTATTTCTTGCTTTTTGCATTACAGCTCTAAAAAGAACTAAAGTGGTCTTTTGATTGTATTTTTGCTAGATTTAAAAATTATTTTGTGGGAAATTGACAAGGGTAGTTGCTAAAGCTAGGCTAAGCAACTCCCTGACACGGTTGGGAAAGGTAGAGCAGTGTTGTAAGTTTACATGCGGAGTAACATGTTTACAAGTTAATAGTCATGTTAGGTTAAAGTTGCTTGTGTTTATGCTTCTGTAACACACTGTTCCCTTTTCCACAGCCTAAGGGAAAGAAGGCTAAGGGGAAGAAGGTGGCACCAGCCCCTTCAGTGGCCAAGAAGCATGAGGCCAAGAAAGTAGTCAACCCCCTGTTCGAGAAGAGGCCCAAGAACTTTGGCATCGGTGAGTATCTGCAGGTGCCACTTTATTGGGGGCATAAGCTAGTGGTCATACAGGTGCAGATGATGTAAAAGAATATTTGCTATCTTAATACCACTGATGACAATATTCCCACCAAGATCGCTGATGCACATTATATTAACATTAAATTAAGAGAAAGTTTCTGTTTAATGGTAGATAATGATGAATTTGTTGTGCTTTACCACAGGCCAGGATATTCAGCCCAAGCGTGATTTGACACGCTTTGTGAAATGGCCTCGTTACGTCCGCCTGCAGAGGCAGCGCTCCATCCTCTACAAGCGTCTGAAGGTTCCCCCTGCGATCAACCAGTTCACCCAGGCTCTGGACCGCCAGACTGGTAAGTACAAGCAAGTGGTTTTCTTCTGTATGGCAGTATGTCAGAGTTGTCATGTGGGTTCTAAGAAGGACTGTTTCACTGTGCAAGTGATGTGAAAGAGTATTTGCTATCTGACCAGTTATGCGGACGATTTCCACCAAGATCACTGATGCATGTGTTTGTAATCATGGTAGCTTTGTAGTAAGCCAAACTTGTTGCCCAAATTTCAGTGTTTACATTTTTAATTTTAATTGGTTTCTTCCGCAGCCACTCAGCTGTTCAAGCTGGCTCACAAGTACAGGCCCGAGACCAAGCAGGAGAAGAAGCAGAGGCTGCTGGCTCGTGCTGAGCAGAAGGCTGCTGGAAAGGGAGATGCCCCAACAAAGAGGCCTCCCATTATCCGTGCAGGTGAGTTTGATTGAACAAAGTCCTGTCTTTGTTAAGCTCCACAGTTTAGTAAAAATGTATTAAAGTTTAAGACTTGTGCTGGCCTAGTTGGCAGCTCGGTCTTATGTATTTCAGGAGTGCTGCTGGAATTGTAGGTTTGCTCCTAAACAGTCTTAAACTGTGCATTAGAACCTATTTTGTGTTCTTGTTAGTTCAGCCTCATCTGACTTGGCCTCAATGCAGTGATGACCAGAATTTCTTCACCTGAAACTTGCTGTGATGGTTTTTGAGCTTTTTAACCCTGAGCGTTGGCCAAAAAATAATGAAAAGTTTTTCTGGATTAAGTTGGTGGATCAAACATTTTAATTTCTGCCTTTTGGTTTTCGCTCTCTGCAGGTGTGAACACCGTCACCTCTCTGGTGGAGAGCAAGAAGGCCCAGCTGGTCGTCATTGCCCATGATGTGGATCCTATTGAGGTGAGATTGGTGTAATATGTGAATGCATGTTGGGTTCAGTTTAGTGTAAAAAGTGGTCTCTGGCAATGATGTCTGAATTTCTTCACCTGAATCCTCTGTGTGGATCAAAACATACGAGCTTTTTAACCCTGAGCACAGACCACAAATGAAAAACAAGTTATCATTTATTAATTTTTGTAAAAGGCAATATGGTTGCCACACTCCATGGATAAACTCAAAATTTTTTGCTTCCTGAAATGTTAATACTTCCTGTGGCTCCCCTGAATTTCTAGCTCGTGGTCTTCCTGCCTGCTCTGTGCCGCAAGATGGGTGTCCCTTACTGCATCGTGAAGGGGAAGGCTAGACTGGGCAGACTGGTGCACAGAAAGACATGCACTTCATTTGCCTTCACACAGATTAACCCGTGAGTATGAACATACACTGAACTGTGCCCAAGTGTGACAGTGAAGTTTGGCAAATGATTTTTAGTACGTGTTCAATAACTGGCTGGAGAAAAGATTCGATACTTCCTCTGGAGTGAGATCTTAGTTCACATCTTCAAATTTGCTTGGATTATTTTCTACAGCAGTTGACTTTTTAATCAGGGACCACAATATGTATAAATTTGAAGTGACTTTTCAGACAGGAAAATTTAGTCATCTGAATACAAGTGTCGGTACTGCATTGACCATCTTTTCTCTCTTTTTTTTTTTTCTTTTTCCCCCTACTCCTAGTGAGGACAAAGGTGCACTTGCTAAGCTCGTGGAAGCCATCAAGACCAACTACAATGACAGATACGAGGAGGTGAATAGCCATTACTCAGTTAGCAGTGTTTACATTTCACAAATCCTAAAACAAATTGTACAAATTTTAACTGTTCGCAATCTCATTTTCCAGATCCGCCGTCACTGGGGAGGTAACATCATGGGTCCCAAATCCACAGCCCGCATCACTAAGCTGGAGAAGGCAAAGGCCAAGGAACTTGCAACCAAGCTTGGTTAAATTGTTTGGAATAAAAAAATGTATGCCCTAAAAGAAGAAGACTTCTGTTGTTTAATTTTCAAACTAAAATGATAGAAATGTTAGAATCAGATTGCAGGTGTCAACACAGTGACAGCAGGAAACGTAAACATGGGAGCATTTTAAATTCTGATTGTTATAATAAGGGTGGAACTGACATTTTTAGGTTTCCCATGCCGAATCCTGAAGTGTCACAGTTTAAATCAAGATGATAATCTTGGGCATTATCTGACAAATTGCTTGAAATCGGGATAGTTTTTTTTCTTTAATAACTGAGAAACCACAACTTGAAAGGTGAAAAATATCATGAACTCTGCCTTTCAATTCCTGTAAGTGAAGACGTATTGATGGTCTAAGTTTCTGTAACTGGAGTTACTGAATCTGATCGCACTGAAATTACTTATATTTAGTATCATCCAGCAGTAAAGTTAACCTGTTTAAAAAAAAAAAACTGGCTTAAATTTAACATAAGATGCTTTGTCAAAACCACATAATTTACAGGACACGAGGCGCTTTTTTTTTTTCTTTTCCCCAACGGTTATTATTGGCACATAGTACATACAACAAGGTAAATGACAGAATCCCCGATCTTGAGTACTTTATTTACACATGAAGCTATTTACATAATATATGTACCAGGCTGGAGCTACAAGTTAAGCACAAACCCATCATTCAAGTAAAATAATTTTATTGCTTTAAATCCTCTTGATGAACTTTGCATACCACATGTAGGAAGTAGCTGCACACAAACCATACCTAGAAGAAAAAAGTAATTCTGCATTTTATCAATCAAATGCACCTTGACACATGAGTGTAACAGATGTACAGCAGTCCAAAACAAAACACTCACCATGTTATTATGTACTGCATGTGTTCATTCCTCAGTGTGACCCTGGTCTGTCCACCTATTGGCCCACCAGGAATAGTGCTACCTGCGTGAGACACAAAACTTTTAATTACTTTCAAATTGAAGTGTTTCTGTTGATGTGAGTGAGATAAACAGCATACATGGAGGATTGCAGAGGTTTAATCTTAATGTAAAGTCACTGTGTCAAAGAGCACTAAACATACCAAAGTCGGCATCAATGAAGATGGGTGCGGCTCCAGTGACTTGTGCCATCGCTTCCAGGTCACGGTAATGCCAGCGGTTTCTCTCCACGTCATTGTTTGGTACAAAGGGTTTACGATTCTCTGTCAGTCTGACCACTCCCACCAACTCCACCTCATCCTCCACCTGCATAAAGGCAGCATTTCAGTGATTCAAGTGTTTACAACAACACAAAGGTGGTGTTAGTAGTTTAGCGAACAGTCAAGCGGTGTAAGTCAGTTCTGTAGGAGTAACATGACAATAAATGGGTCTTCGAGGCACTTTCACAGGCATATTTAAACTATTCAATTACTAAAGGGAGTTGGGGCCTAATTGAAGATGAATTCTCAGTGCATAAAGAGGTTTTCAAAACTGGAAACACCCCAGGCCTATACCAGGACGTGGGATTTTTGACCAGGTAACTTCAGGGATGGTTCGCTTCTTACCAAGGTGGATCAACATAGTAACTTGTGCTCCAAAATAGGTTATCTGTGAACAAAGTAAGCCATACTTGTTCATTATTTTTCTTTGTGCTGTTTAACATGTTTAACATTATCACGCTAACTGGGGCCTGCAAAGTCTGGCATGTAGCTACTGGGTTTTTTGCAATTTCTCTAAGCATTGCACAGTCTGGCCTTGAGGTGTTTTGCCAGGACTTCCACTCCTGGGAAGACTGGAAACTCTTCAGTGTTTTCCATTTGTAAATAATCTTTCTCAACGTACAATGATGGATTTCAAATTGTTTGGAAATGGTCCTTTAACCCTTCCCAGATAGGCAAGGGATCATTGCTGTTATCTCTTTGGTATTCTGTTAACACACACATAAATGCTCCAGACCAGCGAACTACCAAAACCTCTACTTTTACTGAGGTGCTCATACTTGCTTATGATCAATGAATCAAGTGCACTTATTTATCAGGGTGTAGATCATTTTTACACATGCTGCTTCTGCAGTTTGGCTTAGTTTTTGTTCAGTAAATAATTACATGGTGTGATGTGTCATGTTGTTGTTCATCTGAAGTTGTATTTAGCCGTTAAGACTTGCTGTCAACAAGATGACTTTTTATTATGTCGTGGTATGTAAAACCTAAGAACTGAACTGTAGTCTTAGTTCTAACATAGCTTGTGACAAACCTATTAGACTTATAAGTTAGTCTTATTAGTCTTGAAGAATAAGTTAGTCTTTGTGCAATTAACAAATCTCAAAGACTTAACACTCCAGCCTGGTGTAAAACCTCTGTGTTTACCCAGCATCTGATGTCTTCCCCTCACCTGTCCCTTCATCCTGGTCTCTGGTCTTATTTTCTGCCTTGGCACGAATCCTCTGTTCACCAGGATTGTGATGCTTCAGTGACACAGACGGTATAAATCAGTGTTGAGAGCAGCGATGTATCAATCAATGTACAGATATTGCTATGGTGAGATGTTTTATCTGGCTCCTTACCCGAGGTCGGTACAGTGGAATGGGGTGATGACATTAGCGCCGGTCTCTGCACTTGAAGAGAGCCTTCCTGCTTCTCTGGCCTCTCTCTCTGGGTCGACTGGTGAGCGGGGCATAATGTATAGCTCTTGGGAGTGATCGTAACATCCACGTACCTTGACTCTTCTGTACTCGAGGTTATTAACCTCATAAGGACTAGAATGCAAGGCGGGAAAATGGTATGTAAATCTGTGCCTTAATGATTCACATATGTAAAAAACGCAGCTTATTCAACTTCTGCACATTAAGATATTACATGAAGTGTTAAAGAGCACCTGTTATACTTTTTCATATTTTCTGTCATAGATACAGGACCTAGCCACTCTCTGCCACTTACTCAAGAGGAAGAGGAATGGGTTCTGCCGTAGTGAGTCGGGTCAGGTCATCAATCAGCTTCAATTTCCACTGACGCCTTTTCACCTACAGATGAAGGCAATGAAGACACTGGAGTACACCCAACAACAACCAGAAAGACGTAATTGCATTGTGTGTATTTAAAAAAGCAATAACAATCAACAAATAAGTGGTACCTGCCATGTGCCGAGGCCAAAGGTGGTGGCAGGGATGAGCAGCAGGAACCATTTAAGAAAAGAGTCTTTCTCTGCAGCTGTGGCTGCTGTGGAGCTGGACTGTCGTCCAAAGCCAAGGAACCTGCCTGGATATGTAAAGAATAATAGTGAAAGGTGGATTCCTTGGAGAATCGAACAGCATATTGACATAACAGTTACAAATAATATAATGGAATAACGTATATATGCTACCCAAAAAAATTATACACAAAGATTATTTCAGCAGCCATGCAGACAGACATTAATGTAAACCGAACAGGTTTTGTTGATTTTCTTATATTATTACGTAGTAATTACTTTTTTACCTAATTTCACCATTAAAGACAAAATACCATATAACAGATACAAAACAGATTTATTTTCTAGTCTTTTTTTTTAAGTGGAAAAAATATGTAACAGTGACTTTATTCGCTAATTATCTAAAGGTGGTGTAATTGTTGACAAGTTTAGTTTGTACCGTCTACACGTTTGAAGGCTCCTGGCAAGAAGAAAGACCTCTTGGTGTAAAATGCATGATTCTGAAATACAAATGTATAAAATAAACTCAGCATTTTTGCAAGTCGTTCACTCGGCGATGAAAATGACTTTGACGTTTTTTTTTTTGTTTGAGACGAAAAACTGCGAAAACTAACGCACCTGTGTTTTTAGTGTCGGCAGCAGCCTCCGGGAGTAAGTCAGCAGAGATGTCAGAGAGACCATTCTGAATCAAAACAACGTGGAAATGGATGAAAATGGACGAGACAACCGGCTACATTACAACTACATAACTGACAAGTTTCTGCTTGGAGGGGGACCACTTCTGGTGTTACTACTTCCGGATTGGGGACGCCCCACCCCTTTAAATTTTTACACACGTGCGTATGTGAACGTGTTGATGTTTTTATCGCTAAATATCGTGTGTGTGTTTTATCCGGATTAAAGGTGGGAGCCCGTTTCACTTGTCGACATGGATCTCGCCTCAAAGGATTCGTACATTCAGAAACTTGCAAGTAAAGTGTTTTCTCAACGAGACCAGGAGTCCAGGAAGAGACCGTTCGGTAATGTTAGCTAAATGCTTGGGTTTGTTTACATGGTAAAATTGAAGCTGTAGTGCAGACTTTAACATTTAGGTGTTATTTATTGTGGAAAAACTACGTAAAACTCAGCAAGTGTCATCAAACCTTGTGCCACGGTTTCACGTTTTACCTACTTTGTACCACAGGAGGCGCTACAGTGTTTAATCTGATGGCTTTATGCGCCCCTTGTTCATTAAAGTTACCAAACTGATAGCATGTCAAAAAAATAATCTGCTATTTCTCTTAAAATACTTTTTTTGTCCCCAAAACTGATTTAAAAAATGAGTTTTTTGTCATTTATTTATCTAAATTTCTAAAGGTATCAATTTTCTCCTTTTCACTGATTTCATTTATGTGGGAAGTTGTAGATAACAAGATTAATTTATAACTCGGTGGGAACTAATATTGTAAATGACCTTTTTATGTCTTTTAAAGTTGGCTCCATAGGTTTTTGGACAATGCTACTTTTTTGTTGTTTTTGTAGTTTTTCCTCTGTACACTGTTGACTTTAAATCAATCAGGCAAGTGCAGAGGCTCAACTTTTATTCAAGGGCTTTAACAAAAGTAATGCAGTAACTATTTAGGTGCCACAGAAGTTTTACACAAATCCCCCTTTTAAATGTTCAAAGTAAATAGACACATAAACTTAATTTAAAATATAAATAAAGTCTTAAATACTTCTGCAGTCTTCCTAAGCAGTAGATTTCTTAAGTCTACAACCTAGTGTTGTGTTTCCTCCCTTGAGATGCTCTGACAGGCTGTGCACCCAACTTAAAGACTTGGTTATATTCCATTGCAGACGCAGACAACTGAGATTCAACAGTAGTTCCCATTACACTTCTTTAATGTCCTCTTCAAGTCCATCAGCTGGGGCTAATGCATGGTTGTTGTCTAGGACTCAGATTTAAAATTATAGAGAAAAATCTATGCAATAAAAGTGACAATATGGCAAAATGGCTTAAAAATGTCTCATTGTACAAGTATGTGCACACTAGACCTCCAGGTGGACTACTTTTAAACCAAAGAGCTCATAACTTGTAGACATACATCCTTTGATCACATTATGCCAGGACAGGTTTTTTTCATATTAAGAAGTCATGAGATAAACTGACTGGCAGGTGTTTTACTGCTAATAGGATTGCTTTTATAAGAGAAGAGTCACCCACCAAATCAGCTGTGACTGGGTTTTTTTTTCTCATGAAAAATGAGGAAACAAGCTGATCATGAGTTTACCAACAGAAAATTTCAAATCCTCTTTTCTCCAGTTAGCTGACGTTATCTGAACATGTTGCAGGCCCTAGGCTAGTAACTGTAATAGGAATGTTGTAGAACTGCAGTGACACATTATATACATGCAATCGTCAATATGTGCATTGTGTTTGTGTGTGTACAGTTCATTTCAAAGCTAAAAGTGACACTGGTCCTCCAAAGAAGAAGAAAAAATGCAAAAAGAAAGATGAGGCCACAGATGGCAAGACTCCCAAACCCCAACAGAAGCCTTCACCCTCTCCAGCAGCACAGAAAATCAAAGCTGCCGTGAAACCAAACGGGTCCAACACTGAGGCCGCAAATGGAGCTGCACACCAGAAGCATCAAGGTATACCAAGCCTACGCTGGTCCTGTGTGGAGGTTTTTCTCTTTACATAACTGGGTCTCATTTAATGCTTATTTTCTTTTTCTTTAAGGAGGAAGTGTAGACTCCAGCTTCACTACAGTCGATGTATTACGCAAAAGGCTCCATGAAAAGATTGAAGAGTCCAGAGGACAGGTATGCAGTTTTCAGAGATGGCACAGTATGAAAGACAGAGACTGTAGGGGGGGAGGGGTACTGAGGATCATCTAAAACAGGAAGTGATGTCACCGCTGGGTGCCCTAGAATTATTGTTGAAGCTTAACCATGTTAACCTGTCTTTTATCAGGGAACTCCAAAGGATGCATTATCAGAAGCTGTCCAGGCGAAGCGAGCAAAGCGAAAGCTGGAGCGGGAGCGCAAGAAGAGGAAAAGAAAAGAATTTCTGATGAAGAAACTGGCTGAAAAAAGTGGGAAAGAACAGCCGTTAGAGGTAAAACAGGAAGAGGAGCACGTCCCTGCCTCGAGCAAAAGAAATGAGACTGCTCTGGTCTTCAACAAGGTTGAGACGGTGGACGAGGGTTATATAGACAAGAAACAAAAAAAGAAGATCAAGAAACAGGGGATAAAAGGCCAGATAACTCCTCTGACGGGGAAGAACTACAAGCAGCTGCTCAGCCGCGTGGAGGCTCGCAAAGCCAAGCTGGAACAGCTGAGGGAGAAAGACGAGGAGAAGGCCTGCGAGATGGAAAAGAAGATCATGTGGACCAACATGCTCTACAAGGCAGAGGGCATCAAAATCAAGGACAACGAGGAGATGCTGCGCGAGTCGCTGAAGAAGAAGGAGAAGAGGCGCACTCAGAAAAAGAAGAAATGGGAGCAGCGGAGCGAGCACGTCCTAGAAAAGATGCAGCAGCGGCAGGACAAGAGGCAAAAGAACCTGCGGAAACGCAAGCAAGTCAGGGCAGAGAAGAAGAAGGACAGGGCGCGGAAGAAGGGCCGGGTGCTGCCTGAGGACTTGAAAAAAGCCACAGTTTAGTCGAAGGAAAGACAACTTGCATCTTGTTTCAGTTTCTGTATGGCACTGTGATATTCACATGATAATAAATGTTCTCCTTGTGCAGATATTGCCTGACCCTAATGCCCAGGAGAAATACCTTGTTTCATGGTCAATAAAATGGTATTATGAACATGATAATGAATATAATTCAAATTAACAGGCTCTGTGTGTGTGTTTGTGTGTGTGCCTGTTGACCAAAAAGACGCTGGTTAGCAAAACATTTGCATAGCACAAATACAGCCAAGTAAGCCTGGTTTTCTCTCAGGCCAAACGCCAATGAGCGCCAACTCATTAAATATATTTTTTAATTTTATCGATGTAATTTTTTCGATTTGAACTATAAAAAGATTAATGACTGTGGTTTAACTTTTTTTTCGGACTACTTTGTCACTGGCAGTGATAAAAGTCAGTCCTGAGGCTGCTGGAGGATTACCTGAGTCCTCTCCGGAAAAAAAAAAAAAAAAAAAAAAAGCAACTGCAGGAAATGAAACGTTCAGGAATATTTCTCCTAAATTCACGGCTACTTTTTAAAACAGTATTTAAAAAAAATAAAAACTAGCATATGGTTAGTTGATGACATATACGTCAACAGAGCTGAACCGCGGCTTGAGTTTTGGGCCCGTGTTTGTCTGTTGTCCGTGACGTTTCTAATTGTAATATCTCGCCACGCCCACACAGGAAGTAGATATCAAAACACAAGGAGGCTGAAGGGGAGTTGCTGGGACCTTCGTTATCAACTCGCACTGGTCCCAAACAACAGCAACCCTGGACTTTCAGGTGAACAGAAACGTCTACAGATATTTTTTTCCTTCTGCAGGGACTCAGTGACAACATTAAATGTCGTCTGCTCCTGTGAGGCTGTGATCATTTATTAATGGGAATAATCAGGAACATTGCAGCAAGTTTGGTCCTACTTCGGCAGAGTTCAGTTAAAAACAATCATAAGGTAGGCACAGCTCCGTTAAACTGAAGACAGAGGTCTCCAGCATGACCGCGTATTTTAAAGCTTGTTTTGTTGCTTCAGGTCATAATGTCCAGGCGACTTCACGCACGCAGGACAGACGGGGTGGATAAGAATGTCTGGTGAGTAAATACACTGAAATGTCCGTGTTTTTGGGGGGATGATTACTCAACCAAAGGTAAAGTATCATATGTGTAATATTTTAACTATAACAGCAAAGTAATATTTCACAACAGAGTCTGCAGTTGCTGAGCACGTTTAAAGTTGCATTCAGGTACCTGCTCATTGGGCGATTTATGGTTAAAAGAAGAAGAAGAACAGAAACAGAAAGAGAAATGTTTTTGTCAGCATATTTCACTGAACTGAATTAAGCTGACCTGCTTTCTGCCTTCTCCTAAACAAATTGTTTAACTGAAAAAAGAAGAAAAATAAAAATAAAACTCTACCAGTTTGTTGCTTATGACCTGCCTCCTACCTCCACCAATCGGATGTATCACCTACATCTGATTGGTTGAGAGCAAGGTCGCACAGTTTGGAGCTGAGCCACTTTCTTTTTTTTTTTTTTTAAAGTTTCACAAACTAATAAAAATGTGCTTCATAGTGGAATCCATATATGTCATTATAGACAGCAGAAAAAGTCAGGTGTTTTATTTAATTAAGGTTTTGCATATTTTTAATTATTGAAATATTGCCACATTTAGCCCACCAGAGCTGTTCACCCAGCCCCTAGAATATGACTGAATACAGGAATAGCCTAATAAGTAGTATCTCTCATTTAACATTTCTTGTAGTGTTTCATGTGCACGTTTTATGTCACCAAGCTATAAAACCATTTCTATGACCACCAAACACAGCTAAAACGACAAACAATTAAAGAGCGGGTAAACAAATTCAGTGAAAAGATGCAAACACAAATTGCAGATTCCCAGACTCCACAATGTACAAGTACATTGCATGTGTAGGCGATGATTATCTTGAAAGCTTCACAAATATGAAACCTAAAATAGTGTATCACAATCGCCCTTTAGTGGCTTGCTCCAGTTCAAGTAATGCAAGTATTAACAGTGACAAGGGATAAGGAATAACGTAAATTTAGAAATAGATAATTAGCATAATTAAATAATATATTACCTATGATACTATTTTTATTTTATTTTATGAGAGCTACTCACAGTGTCTCCTGAGAAAAATTCTGGCCCTTGGATAAATGTAGTTGTCCCCAGCCCTAGGCTTAATGGTTGAGCTAGTAAATTACAGTTTGCTCAGATGGGCCCCGAGTGATCAGATGTGTGACTTCATGAAGGACTGCACTGCATTTTTAACCCTTGGACTCCATCTCAAATACTGAGACACTTCCACGTTTTGATTGCGTCTTGTTTACAAAGGTCAGCATTGAACACTTTCATAGTTTAGTGTTTAACTTTTACCCAAGTCTGTCATCGTGGGTCAAGTGCAAATGTGTCTGTCACAAGCCAAGCAGATTTCTGCAGAATATAATGGCAACTATCACAAAAAGAATGTGCATTAAATACTTATGTATGATACACGTTTTAATAGGACTTATTAAAAAAAATGTCAGATCCCTGTCATTTTTAAGGAGTCATTTTTTGATTCACAAGTCTAGAAAACTAATTAAACTTGGTCCTTCAAATATTTTAGGGTAAAGATGCTACCACTCTAAAATATAGATTCTCAGAAGTGTAACTCAAGCTAAAATAGAATGATGGATGCTTGAAATCAACAATCTTCTTAACTGAGATGAATTGAAATGGAACAAACCCTCTGATTGTTTCATTCTTACTGACACATCTCGTAACATCATTGCTTTGTCTCACTCACCTCACGCCCACAGGGTTGAGTTCACACAGCTCGCAGCAGATTACAAAGCAGTGAACCTCGGCCAGGGATTTCCCGACTTCTCCCCTCCGCAGTTTATCCAGGAGGCCTTCTGCAAGGCCATCAACGGAGGACCTCAAATGCACCAGTACACCCGAGCTTTTGTAAGCACAAAGGCATCCCAAAGGGGGACCCGATTTCAGTCATTTTTCTGAGGGATTAAAAGGACAGATGAAATTGAAATAGTTGCAGAGCAAATAATGAATGGCTTTTTTATTATATTCTTTCCTCAGGGTCACCCCCCTCTTGTTAAAAGTTTGGCTAAATTCTTTAGTAGGATTGTTGTACAGGACATCGACCCTCTCGAAGATATCCTGGTGACCGTTGGTGCTTATCAGGCCCTCTTCTGCGCTTTCCAGGGTCTGATTGATGAAGGGGATGAGGTACAGAAATCAACAAAGTGATAAGTAGTGCTGTCAAAAAACAAGAAACTAGTGATCAACGTTCAAGTGAAAATATAAAGAACTGAGAGTTGGGTTTTTTCTCTCTCTTAAAAAAGTAATTTACGTTTCAGGTCATCATTATCGAACCGTTCTTTGACTGCTACCAGCCCATGGTGGTGATGGCTGGAGGAAAGGCAGTTTATGTTCCTCTGAGACCAGTGAGTGGTTCATGTTTCTAAAAAATAGAATAGAAACTGATAATTTCACATTTTCTTTTCAATTTAGGATCCTCAATGTATGGATCCTGTACATATTTCTTCTCTTTTGTGTTTTCCCATTTGCAACAGAGAGAGGGCAGTGCTATCCTATCAAGTGGAGACTGGGTTCTTTCTGCTGACGAGCTGGCCAGTAAAATTACTCCTCGCACTAAAGCCATTGTTATCAACACTCCCAACAACCCATTAGGCAAGGTAAGATTAATTATGCCCTCACGAGGCCGTTACCGTGCACATAAGTCTGATTTGGGTTGTGGAATTTTCAACTAATGGGATTTTATTTTCTTGCCATTTTCTATGTTTTCATTTAATATATCGACTTTACTCTCGGATACAAACATGCATCCGTGTGTGTTACAGGTTTACAAGACAGAAGAGCTCCAAATGATTGCCGATCTGTGTATTAAGCACAATCTGCTGTGCTTCAGTGACGAGGTGTATGAATGGCTCACGTATGATGGAGCCAAGCACATAAAGATAGGTGGGATAGCAGATTACACACAAACTAGCTAGCGACAGTGCCGACGTGTCATCTAATGTTTGTTTTTCCTATTCTTTGGCAGCCAGCCTTCCTGGCATGTGGGAAAGAACTGTAACTGTCGGCAGTGCCGGAAAGACATTTAGTGCTACTGGCTGGAAGGTAACACACAGTCTGTAGGGTCATTGTCTTTGCAACACGTTGTTAGTGTGATCTGATTTGTTTTTTTACTCATATTTTTCAGGTTGGCTGGGCCATCGGCTCTGGAAATATCATCAAATACATGAAAACCATCCATCAGAATTCTGTTTATCACTGCGCAACAGCCGCTCAAGTAAATGCATACTTTCTAAATTAATATTAGTACTACTTTAGTAGGGCTGTGAAATTATAGCTATTTGAGCAGATCAATTTTGTTTTGTTTCTTTCTTCTTGTGCTTTATCTAATCAGAATTGCTTGATCAGGTTAAATTTTAAAACTCTCTCCATCCTTCTTCCTTACCACCAGGAGGCAGTCGCTCATGGATTTGAACGGGAATATGAGCTGTTTGGGACTCCTGAGAGCTACTTCCAGCAGCTTCCCACGATGCTGCACCACAAAAGAAAGAAGCTGGCCTCGTGTCTGGAGAGCGTGGGGCTGCAGCCTATCATGCCAGAGGGAGGCTACTTCATGGTCACAGACATCTCCTCAGTCAGTGAGTGATGAACAGTCATCTTTGTTTTATACATCTTTCATCATCTGAAGTCAGTATTTACCTTTTTGTCTTTTTTCCTCAAACAGAGGTGGACCTGAATGACCTGAGCACAAAGGATGAATTGTATGACTTCAGATTTGTTAAATGGCTCATTAAAGAAAAGGTAAAAATGTAAGGTTTTATTGACGTTTGTTTGGAGTAAATGTGGGGATATAAAATGATTGATCTGGGCACATGTTGTAAGGTCATCCTTAAGATGATCAAGGGTGGAGGGTGGATAGAGAAGATGGAGCGAAGATCGAGGTAAAAAAAAAAAATCCTGAAAGGTGAAAAACAGTACTGAAGATTCAAACTCTCAAATGTAAACCTACACCACATTAATGAGACATAACCAATCAAGTCCTTCTGCTTAGACCAGCGATTCAAGTGCGTGGTACATATCTGAAGGGTGGGTAACAGAGACATAAAGAGTTGCATACTTTT